CCTTTACGAACAGCAAAAGGCCATCACAGATTTCCTGATGTTAAAAGCGGATAAAGGTACTCCCTGTGTAACTTAGATGTCAACCATTGGCAGCTCATGCGTGACACCTGCGCTTGCTCAGGCCCTTTGAGGAGGCCACGCTATTCGTGAGTCGGCAGGACTATGGGATGAACGACGTCATTCCTCTGTTGCACGTCCTGGAACAAATGCTGTTAATAATGGCTGGTCAGGGTGCGGTAGACGTAGCGCACAGATCTCAACGCCACATGACCCATGTGGGGGCAGGACAGGAAGAAGAGGAGGAGGTAGAGGAGGACATTGGTGCTCAGGAATTATTGAGTGAAATGGGTGGTTTTTCCACTCAGCGGACAGGAGTGGAGGAGCAGGAGCATCTGGTAGAGGAGGAGAAAGAGGAGACAGAGGACCCAGACGCACCGTGGCAGTATGCTGTGGAGATGGAGGCAGGGAGTCCCTCGCATTCCTTGGCACAAATGGCCCATAGCATGCTCGCTTGCTTGCGTAGCGACAGCCGAATAATAACCATCAGACAGAGGGATGACTTTTGGCTGTCCACCTTGTTGGACCCTCGCTACCGTTCCAAAATGGTGGCCTTTTTCACACCTGCTGAGAGGGAGGCCAAAATAACGTACTATAAAAACCACCTATGTAGTCAGCTGGTCTCTGCCTGTCTGCGCCAACGTCCATCCTCAGACACTGTGGGCCCTGTGCGCTCGCGTTACGCTGCCATGGCAGCAGGGGAGGGGTGGGGTGGTAGGAGCAGTGGCAGCTCCACCAGCAGCAGCTGCCTCAGTCTGCAGTCGATGATGAGTAGCTTTCTTCACCAGCGCAGTGAGGAAACTAATAACCAGCCGCAGCAGCAGCAGCAGCAGCAGCATCAGGTGGACCTGGAGCAGGACCTCAAACAACAGGCTTAGGCCTACTTGGACAGCACCCTGCCAACCGAGGTAGACAATCCCCTTGACTACTGGGCAACGAAACTTGATCTTTGGCCCCAACTAGCTGAATTTGCCCTTGAAAGGCTGTCATGCCCGGCCAGTAGCGTGGCATCGGAGCGCGTGTTTAGTGCGGCAGGAGGTATTGCAACTCCGCGGAGGACACGACTGTCCACCCAAAGTGTGGAGAGACTCACGTTTGTGAAAATGAATCAGGCGTGGATTAGTCTGGATTTCAAACCACCAGTTCCTGACACAACTGACTAAATCCGCCATGAATCATGCCCCAAACATGTGCCACTTTCAGGTCTCCTCACACTGCTGGTGTGTTCCATTTTTTGTCATAGGGTGCTGGCAGATTACGGGCCTCCCATAGCTGCTGCCAGGCCCCTAATCTGCCATGGGCCCCTATACCGCCTCCTCATGCTGCTGCCAAGTCCAGAGTCTGTCATGGGTCCCTGTATGGCCTCCCATTGCTGCTGTCTCCATCGCCACACTCTGCCATGTGCCACTTTCAGGTCTCCTCACACTGCTGGTGTGTTGAATTTTTTGACATAGGGTGCTGGCAGATTACGGGCCTCCCATAGCTGCTGCCAGGCCCCTAATCTGCCATAGGCCCCTATATACCGCCTCCTCATGCTGCTGCCAGGTCCAGAGTCTGTCATGGGTCCCTGTACGGCCTCCCATTGCTGCTGTCTCCATCGCCACACTCTGCCATGTGCCACTTTCAGGTCTCCTCACACACTGCTGGTGTGTTTAATTTTTTGACATAGGGTGCTGGCAGATTACGGGCCTCCCATAGCTGCTGCCAGGCCCCTAATCTGCCATGGGCCCCTATATACCGCCTCCTCATGCTGCTGCCAGGTCCAGAGTCTGTCATGGGTCCCTGTACGGCCTCCCATTGCTGCTGTCTCCATCGCCACACTCTGCCATGTGCCACTTTCAGGTCTCCTCACACTGCTGGTGTGTTGAATTTTTTGACATAGGGTGCTGGCAGATTACGGGCCTCCTATAGCTGCTGCCAGGCCCCTAATCTGCCATGGGCCCCTATACCGCCTCCTCATGCTGCTGCCAGGTCCAGAGTCTCTCATGGGTCCCTGTACGGCCTCCCATTGCTGCTGTCTCCATCGCCTCACTCTGCCATGTGCCACTTTCAGGTCTCCTCACACTGCTGGTGGGTTCCATTTTGTCATAGGGTGCTGACAGATTACGGGCCTCCCATTGCTGCTGCCAGGCCTGTAATCTGCCATGGGCCTCCGTACCGCCTGGTCACGCTGCTCCTGGGTCCACAGTGTGACATGGGTCCCTGTACCGCCTCCCATTGCTCCCACTCTGCCATGTGCCACTTTGAGGTCTCCTCACACTCCTGCTGGTTTCCATTTTGTCATAGGTTGCTGTATGGCCTCCCATTGCTGCTGCCTCCACCGCCACACTGTGGCTCCAAACACTGGTTTTGGCCCCGTGACTGCCCAAATGTGTGAAGTGTGCGGTGATTTCTAAGATCGACGGCACTCATCTGCATGTCATACTGACTGACAGTATTATTTCTCTTCCCCAGCAGACTCCAAGGGCATTTAAATTAAAGGTACAGTGTTCTGCACTAATATTAAGTCTCTCTGAAGCCTAGAAACACCCTTTTTTAAGTTAAATTCACAGCGAATATATTCGACTCGAATCGAATATTTTCCACGAATTCGCCGAATCAGTCGAATCGAATTTTTGAATACTTCGCTCATCTCTAATTACGACTAACCCTAAGCCTAAACTGTCATACTTTCCTATTGTCAAAAAAAAAAAAAGCAAAACGCATAAAAAAAACCCGTCAAAAAGCAAAACACGCCAGTAAACTGCATCAACTGCAACCTGCATAGATGTGAACCTAGATTGAATCTACTTATGCCATTTCCAAAAGGAAATATCCTTTTCATTGGAGTTAGCCTTCAACAGACAAGTTTAGGCTTGCTAAGAAAAAAATCCTCTAGCCCTCTCCCTAGCAACCTAACCTAATCTAAAATTTAACCTTCCTACCCAAATGCCTACTTACCACTTCCCAAAAATCTTTTCAGGTGTTGTCTGTCTCCTGTACTATTGGAGTGGAACAGCATTCAATTTTATATGTTCGCCCGATATAAATCTGCCTTCCTCACCTACACGTCCTCCCTCCACGCTGCCAAGCAAGCCTACTTTGTAATCCTCATCAATACCCTCTCCTCCAGTCCTCGCCAGCTCTTCTTTATTTTTAACTCCCTACTCTCTCTGCCCCCACCTCCACCCAGTACCTCACTCACTGCCCACGAGATTGCTAACCACTGCCAAAGCAAGATCGACGCAATTCACAGGGACATCACAGGGACTCTGTCCCCACACAACTCCTATGATCACCCTCGTCCTCCATCCTAGGCTCCCTCTCTCACATCTTTAATCTCTCCCTCTCTACTGGCGTATTCCCCTCCCCTCTGAAGCACGCGCACATCACTCCCATACTTAAAAAACCCTCCCTGGATCCCACCGACCTAAACAACCTTAGACCCATCTCCCTGTTGCCATTTACATCCAAACTCCTTGAGCGCTTAGTCTATAATCGCCTGAGTTCCCACCTCATCGACAACAACCTCCTTGATCCCCTACAGTCTGGCTTCTGTCCCCTACACTCCACCGAAACCGCCCTAGTCAAACTCACCAACGACCTGCTACCCGCCAAAACTAATGGCCACTACTCAATGTTCCTACTCCTTGACCTCTCTGCGGCTTTCGACACGGTCGACCACCCCCTCCTCCTCAAAATACTATACTCTCTTGGCCTCAGAGACTCTGTTCTCTCTTGGCTCTCTTCCTATCTATCACAGCGCTCCTTCAGTGTTACCTATAATGCTGCCACCTCCCCCTCACTCCCCCTCTCTGTTGGGGTCCCTCAAGGTTCTGTCCTTGGGCCCCTTCTCTTCTCCATCTACACCTCCTCCCTTGGCCAACTGATACACTCCCACGGCTTCAACTACCATCTCTATGCCGATGACACGCAAATCTATCTCTCTACCCCTCGCCTCACCCCTTCAGTCTCCGCCCGAATCACTAGCCTACTGAACGACATATCAGATTGGATGTCACTCCACTTCCTCAAATTAAACCTTTCCAAAACCGAGCTCCTAGTTTTCCCCCCTGCCCGCGCCCCCCCCCCGACTTCTCCATCACGAACAAAAACGCCACCATCAGTCCCACCCCGCAAGCCAGAGTACTAGGTGTCATTCTAGACTCCAATCTGTCTTTCCAGCCCTAGGTCCAATCGCTGACAAATTCATGTAGACTCCACCTCCGTAACATCTCCAAAATACGTCCATTCCTAACCCCAGAAACTACTAAGCAACTCATTCACTCCCTTATTATATCTCGACTTGACTACTGTAACTCCCTCCTCACCGGCTTACCTCATCACAGGCTATCCCCACTTCAGTCTATCCTGAATTCTGCGGCTAGACTCATCCACCTTATTAACCACTCCGTATCCGCCACCCCCCTCTGCCATTCCCTCCATTTGCTTCCGATTGCCCAACGCATACATTTCAAATTACTAACATTGTCGTACAAAGCTGTTCATAACACTGCCCCAAATTACATCACCGATCTGATATCCATATACCACCCAAAACGTACTCTCCGCTCCTCACAAGAACTCCTACTCTCTAGTTCCCTGGTCTCCTCCTCCCATGCCATCTCCAGGACTTCTTCAGAGCTTCCTCCATCCTCTGGAACTCACTACCCCAATCCATCAGACTGTCACCTACCCTCCACACCTTTAGGCACACCCTGAAAACCCATCTCTTCAGGGAAGCCTACCCCACCCTCACCTAATTGCCGATCTCCTCACTCTTCCTACCACTCCATTCCCCTCAGCTATTTCCTCCTGTACCACTATCCCCTCCCTCCTAGATTGTAAGCTCCAAGGAGCAGGATCCTCGAACCCTCGGGTATTGCACTGTATTGTTACTGTACCGTCTCGTGTACTGTCTCCCATTGTAATGTACAGCGCTGAGCAAACTGTTGGCGCTATATAAATACTGTATAATAATAATAATAATATGGAGTTTCAGAATGCACTGGATGAAATTTCAGGAAGAAGTCTCTGGAGTAGCCAACTAACATAAGTACAGGTAAATAGATTTAGATCAGGTTTGTGGTTAGGAACAAGGGTTGGGGTTTTTTTTTTGTAAATTTAAATTTGCCCTCTAATAAACACTTTTTTTCTTAGGGATAGGACAGTCAGGCAGCTAATGCCAGAAAGGCATCTTGTAGCACCCTATTGTAAAGACACCCTATTGTAAGGAGAGTAATTTATAACAAAAGTTTGCTTGAAGGTATAGTACTATAGAAAATTACCTAATTCAAAAAAAAAAAAAAAGAAATACCTAGGTTTTGATACACTCTTCAGACAATAAAATATGTCATGCTCTTTATTATAGGAATATGCTTTGTAGAGGGAAATATGAAAAAAAAACTAAATAATAGGAATACAAATTAAAAGGAATAAAAAAAAAGTTTAAAAGTTCAATTCACTTTAGTGCTCTTTTGACAGGTAACATAATACATCATTTGTTCGAGTAAAAAAAAACATTTCAAATGAGAATTATACATCTAAAATATTAAATAAAGAATGCATGAAGAAAAAATGTATAACCCACTTTCATCACAGGACGCATGCAACATCTGGCCATAAGCAGGAATTGCCAACTCCACTGTTCTATGTTTTTAGATTAATATTGTAAATCTAGAAAAACCAGATATATCTAAATAATTTATGAGTCAGGGTACGTAAGGCTCTACATCTCGTCCGGTTCAACAAGAACACAATTGCCCAGCAGGAGACATTCCCCTGTCAACCCATGGTTGCAGGAAAGAAATTTGCTCCGTGTATGGGCGGCCTAAAATGGCCATACCAGCTCGAATTTCAGCTAATTCTTGAGAATCAGCTTAAATTCAAGCCATAGGAGTCAACACCACCCAAAATCAAGAAATTACAGGCAGAAAAAAAGTAATCCGAACAGGAATTGCAGCCAGTCAGCTGCAGTAACTGTTCAGGTTTTCAAACAGCTCCAGATGTCAGTTGTTAGAATACAATAGGCAACAGCAACAGATTTGTTCTTCCACACTGCATTGCATTGATGGACAGATCTATGGATTTTCCTTGTTCATCCTCCTGAGTTGAACAAGTGAAGCCTTCATGTATATGGCCATTGCTTTAGAAACAGATAGGTGAGTACATGCTGTATGGTGAGTGACAGTGTGACAATTTCACCATCGAATTCACTTAAAAAGAAAGTAGTGACTAATTTAGTAGTACTAGAAGCATGACTAAAGTCAGGAAAAAATTGTTAGCAAGTAGTAAGTGTCAGTAAAAGAAACTTTGTGTGTCTCTTCTGCCAAAAAACTCCTTACTCTTTTTTTTAGTAACTTTTTCTTGTGTACACAGAGTGCACACTACATTGCTTATACACTGCAGTCAAAGTCCAATTTCTATATCTGTAAGATTCAACAAAGTTCTGCTAAAGCAGAAACTCTCAATTTCACCCATCCATATTCCAATCCAGTAACTGGTAAGCCATTTGTTTCACAAAAATGTAACTCATTTTATAGCATTAGAAAAATGATACCTATAGAATTGGATTGGTTATAATAATTATTAGTCACTGAAGGTTGCAAGGGAATTTTTACTTAGAAATGGAAATTTGGTGTGGTGACGATTCTTATTCTCATTCATTAAGCTAGTGTTTTGCAACCTTTTTCCATTCATGAATTATGCACAATCTTGGGGCACACCAGTCTAAAATGTAGTTTATGACACAGAGTTCAGCAGGTTGTGACTCAAGTCTAGTGATCAGTAGGGTGTGACTTAGAGTTCAGCGGTCAGTAGTTTGTGATGTAGAAATGTACCTGTAAAATAGTCAAATCAGTGAACAGCATTTAGTGTCAGGGTGGTTGGTGACAGGAGCGGACTGACAACTCATGGGGCCCCTGGGCAATAGAGGATCATGGGACCCCTGTGTCCTTGCCCAAACTCAAAAAAGCCTATGAAAAAGATACCAGGGGCATCTCATAGGGCCCCCTACTGACCCCGGGCCCTCGGCAGTGCCCGCGTTTCCAAATGGTCAGTCCGCCCTTGGTTGGTGAGCAGTATGCAGTGACAGGGAAATCATTGAGCAGTATGTCATGGCAGGGTGGTCAGTGAGCAGTAAGTAGTGGTAGGGCAGTCAGTTAACATTATGCAGTTGCAGGGTGGTCAGTGATCAGTATGCAGTGACAGGGTAGTTGAGGAGCAGTAAGTAGTGGTAGGGCAGTCAGTGAACATTATGTAGTGGCAGGGTGATCATTTAACACTACATAGTGGCAGGGTGGTCAGTGAGCAGTAAGTAGTGGTAGGGCAGTCAGTGAGCAGTAAGTAGTGGTAGGGCAGTCAGTGAACATTATGCACTTTCAGGGTGTTCTGTGATCAGTATGTAGTAGCAGGGTAGTTGGGGAGCAGTATGTAGTGGCAGGGCAGTCAATGAACATTATGCAATTGCAGGGTGGTCAGTGAGCTGTATGAAAAGGCAGGGCAGTCAGTGAGCAGTAAGCAGTGGT